AAAAAAAATATATTTTATTGATTTTTTACAGAGAGGAAGGGAGAGGGATAGAGAGTTAGAAACATCGATGAGAAACATCGATCAGCTGACTCCTGCACACCCCCTACTGGGGATGCACCCGCAACCAAGGTACATGCCCTTGACCAGAATCGAACCTGGGACCTTTCAGTCTGCAGGCCGATGCTCTATCCACTGAGCCAAGGCAGATTAACATTTTTATTCTGATGTCTACATATCCTAAATATATGTACCACTATGAAGTAATTAACAAGGACTTGGGATATCATTTTTAATAATGAGAATAACAATTTTATTTATTTACTTCTAATCTGGACAAATATATAGTTCAAATTTTCTAACAAGGTTATTATATCCTGCTTTAATAATTACCTGTAACTTTTATGATAATTTTTCAAAAATCTGTTTCCTTAGTTTGTTTAGCTATTGAAAGGAAAACCAAAAATCCCTTACAACTCTCTACTATAACTCAGAATGAATCTGCCTCTTATTACTGTTTGTTTTTTTTTAGAAGACCAAAAGCACATTAATCGTTAACAAAGCTACAATATGATATACGAATGAGGTCTTACATTAAAAAAGTACTTAGAGTGTATTTACAAAAGAATCTCTCATTAATTATTCAACATTTGGATTTGACCAGAAACCAGAGCATGACTTTGTAATGTTCTGTTTAAATGAAGTACTTAATGTTGTAATGAACAACACTCATTGTGGTAAACTCAATGAATTTTGGACCTGTTACAATACAACAGTTTTTCCAATTTTTTGATTAATGGACATATTTTAATGTAAAGTCAGTTTAAATTTCACTTATGCTTTAAAAATGTTTACTTAAACCAAAAATTTTGCATCTCAATTATTTTACGTTCTAAGCTGAATGTAGTTTAAACCAATGCATTATTCATAAAGCAGACATTAGGAAAAACAAAGCTGTGCACTTCTTTCAAAGCCGTTAAATTGCTAAAACATACCATATTTATGCATGCAATATTTGATTGTGTTTTTCTTAAAACACAAGCTTGTTTTTGTCAGATCAAGATATGCCAAAAATTCTACACCAATTTTTGTTTATAATTAAAGCAATCATCAATCCAAGGATTGTCATCCGTTTTATTTCATCTCTACATCAAAAAAAAAGTAATCGGAAAAAATTTAAATTCCCTTGAAATAACAAGATAAATGAAAATGTAAGTGCCTTCACATAATAGCAGTAAGCTGACCCTTTGGGAAATGGTTGACTTTCTCAATACAAGGTATTCAAAGCTCATTCAAAAGTGTTCATTTGGAATGCAGATATCAAAGATGATGCAAATGTTCAAGAGAAAATTAGAACTTACCAGATGTTCTAATCCAGCTTTGATGTTTCCAGATTCCCTAAAATAGAAGAATAAAAGTTCTAAATAGTTGCTAAACCCTTGTCTGCTATAATTTATATTTACCTCAAAACTGTTTTATAAATCCTTAGAAGTTTTTCATATATCTTTACTAATGTTCATATAACACTGTTTTTAATGACAAAACAATTTACATCAAAAGGAAACAGATAAGTAATTTATATCTACTAATATTTCCACTAAATTGGTATTCCACTAACAAAAAGAATGTTTCAGATTTTTCAAAGTTAACACACAACAAAAAGAAGTATATTATTATTTTACTATTAATTTACTATTTATTTCACATTAGTTTTCTCTCATTAGTTTGTTTTCTCCAACTTTTATTATGAAAATGTTCAAACATACAGGTTCTATCCACGATATAGATCCTACATTGATATTTTACTATATTTGCTTTATCAAATATTCGTCCAGCAATGGTTGCATTTTTATTAAAGAATATGCTCCTAAATAATATGCTCATAATTTCAGAGTTAAACAGTAAATTTTAACACATTTTTGTTGACATTAATTTTATTAACTTAGTTCACACTACAAATCAGGATCTAAGACTACTGAAATATTAAAAAACAAAGTATCACCAAAAAAACATAAACATCAAATATCATATTTTTAGTATTTAATTTCTTGCTCCTCACTTAAACAGAACACTGCTGATGGAATTAAAAATAAAAATACCTGTGCAAGTAGCAAACATAATTTAAATATACACTTGGTGAAATGTGGCAAATAGCTAAATTTTTTAATCCCGATTTCAGAGTATACTAATTTATTAGTGACAAACGGTTTTTGGCTTTTCTCACCCTGATCAAGTAGTATTTTAATTCCATCATAAACACCAACCCTTATTTTTTAACATGAAGTTATACTTCTATCACATTGCAGAAAATATTCATGGAAATTCAACAACCAAAACAGTGTTGCATTCACGATGTTTAATCTTTTCCCCGCACCTCTTCTTTCTCTGAAGGTCCTTTATTTCTTTCCTCTTTATTTCTGATTTCAATTTTCTTTGCCTATATACTTCTCTGTTTCCTTTGTCTATCTTTCAATCTTTCCAAATTTCCCTTCAAACCCATGGCTTCCAACCTTTGCTCTCACTGTCCAGTCTGACATATTGGGAATAAATTTCAACATCTACTGATTAGCAAAGCACTTATCTTTAGCCATTCTCTCTCTACTTTCTGCTTCTGGCAATCTTAACCATACCATGTATTCAACATTTAAAATGTAAGGATTTCTAAAACTCATTCTCTGGATGCCCTAATTACCAATGATAGGCATAAATTAAAAACAAGGTGTCAGAAAGGCTAATAGCTACATAAATAATTATTTTTAATATTATTACAAAATAATGCATTTAATGGATCTGGAAGGCAAACTTCAAATTTTTGCAAGGACATTCTCATATGATCATCTGTGTAATTTGAAATATAAACAAAAAGAATAATGTATATAGTGAAACATCTGACAGTGCAATATGTGTATGTGCACACAACAGTGAAATTGTCTTCCTCCTATCACTGACTCCCAATTCTCTCAATCACTAATATTACCTTTGTTTGTCTTTCTAAAAAAATTCTATATGTATGTACATGTGTATTTCTTCCTTCGCATTTTTTTAAATTTTATTTTTTATTAAACCCAAACAGAAACATACTATAAAGCACTGTTTTTGGTACCTTCACTTGGCAATCTATCTTGGAGTTTGCTCTATATAATACACATCTACATCATTTCCCTCATGGCTACATTGTCACATAATGGTTCTTATTAGAAAATAATATTGCAAAAAATGTTCAGATTCAAAGTACAAGTCCTTAATTAATTATCTGAAATCACTGGGGCTAGACATGCTTCATCAGAATAGTTGGGAGTTTAGAAAGGTAATAAGGTATATATACTATATGTCACGCAACGCTGACAGCATGACTCGAAGCAGCATCTCATCATTATACACATTAATTCTAAAACAAACACAAATATTCCACAGAGTGGAATAAACAAAGGCTATAAGTAGCTTCATTTCAGGGTAGGTTTCGATGTAAACTGAGTTTACCACAAAATTAAGGAAAATCAATTCTCTGAGCTGTTTGCATTTTGGAATCAAGGACAAGAAACTATTCCTAAAAAAAAGAAAAGATTGGCTAGGCTATTGCTTTGCTATACTTCAAAGTGATTCTTTAAATTAAGTGATATTTAGGAAATATGCTTTTAGAATGGTATGCCTGAAAGAAAACTAGGCATCATCCTTGACACAAGCCTTTTTTTCTTCACTGCCAGTTGTAAACAAATGTACTCAATCACAGGGACTTGGCTATTCAACATCCTTAATTACCATATAGATTTAATCACTTTTATCTTCACAGGTACTACCTTATTTTAGGTCTTTTGTTTTCTCTCTGATGTTACTAAGAAAGAGTACTGGTCTCATCTTTTCTCTCCCAGATTACTACAAAACATCCTAATGGTTAAAAATGGGTCCTGCCTTGCACCACATCAATTCATTCGCCATAATACAGCAAAATCTTTCTAAAATGTAAGCTTGATCATGTCAAACCCCTTCTTAAAATCAACGGTATCTTACTACACTCCTGTTTACTCATTCCCCCTGCTATATTTCCAAAGCTACATCACATGGAAAATGACAACAGCAACATAACAGACTAGTAACCTGGCTTCACTCACTACTGTCTATTTTGTCAGATATATGTGTTGCTACTTCAGCTTTTTTAAATTTTCATTTGCATGAAATATCTTTTTCTATCCTTTAACTTTCAGTCTATGTGACTCTTTTGTTCTGAGTGGATCTTTTGTCAACAGCACATATATGGGTCTTGTTTTCCTATTCATTCAGCTACCCTATATCTTTTGATTGGAACATTTAGGCCATTTACGTTTAAAGTGATTATGGATAGATACATATATATTGCCACTTTATTTTTTTAAACTATGTTCCTATTTTTCTTTCTTCTTCAAGAAGACCCTTTAACATTTCTTGTAGTACTGGTTTGGTAGCAATGAACTCATTAAGTTTTTTCTTGTCTGGAAAACTCTTTATTTCTCCAACAATTTTATTTTATTCTTTTCAAGACTTAAAGAACATTTATTTTTTTTGAAAGGCCGAGGGGGACTCTACATGAATCTGAAGCCAATAACTAGACAGGAAGATAAATAAAATACAAAGCCAGTATGTTGTGGCAAAATTCCAGAAAACACACTGAAAAAAATCTTTACAGTTTAAAACTGTTTTACGTATACATAATTACAAATGTATATACAGCACATGGGTTTTACCCCGTATGTAATGGATAGCTTTGCTGTGTAAAGTAATCTGGGTTATAGGTCCTTCCTTTTCATCACTTTGAATATTTCATGACAATTCCTTCTGGCTCAAAATGTTTCTGTTGAGAAATCAGCTGAAAATCTTATAGGAGCTCCATTGTAGGTAACTATCTTTCTTGTGCTGCTTTTAATATTGTCTCTTTGTCTTTAACTTTGCCATTTTAATTATGATGTATCTTGGTGTGGACCTCTTTGGGTTCATCTTGTTTGGGAACTCTGTTTCCTGAACCTGTGTATATTTTTTCCTTCACCAGGTTAGGGAAGTTTTTGGTCATTATTTCTTCAAATAGGTTCTCTATTCCTTGCTCTCTCTCTTCTCCTGATGTGGATGTTGTTAAACTATCCTTATTCCTTTAAACTATCCTCATTCTTTTTAATTCTTCTTTCTTATTGCTGCTCTTATTGGGTGTTTTTTCTACCTTGTCTTCTAAATTACGGATTTGATTCTCTGCTTCATCCAACCTACTTTTTAGTTTTTTCCAGTTTATTCTTGATGTCAGAAATAGTATTCTTCATTTCCAACTGGTTCTTTTTCATTTTTTCTATGTCCCTTTTCATGCTGTTGTAGTTCTCACTAAGTTCCCTGAGCATCCTTATAACCATTACTTTGAACTCTATATCTGATAAATTTCTTGTCTCCATTTCATATACCTCTTTTTCTGGAGATTTCTCCTATTCTTTCATTTGGAGCATGTCTCCCCATTTTGGCTGCCTCTTTGTCTTTGTTTTTTTATGTATTAGGTGGTTCTCGTAGGATGACCTTATGAAGGAGGTATCCTGTGGGACCAGTGGCAAAGTCCCCTTGATCACCTGTGCTGGGTGCTCTAGGAATGTCCCTTGGGTGCATTATGTGGGCCCTCCTGTTGTAATTGAGTATTGATTATTATTGGCTTCTTTGTGTTTAGGGTCGACACTCAGGCTGGCTGACTCTGAGGATCGACCCCGACCACAGTGTATGAGCTGCTGTGCAGATGCTGACCACACTAAGTAGATTTTGCCTCAGCAGAGTCCGGTGCCTGATTAGATCTCCCTTTGGCGATGCCACTTGTGAAGCTAATTAAATCCTGCTATGATGTTGTCTGAACCTGGCCACTGGGTGTGTTTGTTCTGGGGCCTCTTGGGAGGGACTCTGGTACAGGCCCACTTAGAAGCTGCCTGTGACTGGCCCTGAGCAACCTGTTTGGAGCCACAAAGTGAGCCCCAGTTTGTGGCTGTCTCTGTTGGGCCTGCCTGGGTGTGTGGGAAGGAACAAGCTGTACACCAAGGCCGGCGTTTTCTAGCACCAAGGCAGGTCAGCAAAAGTCCCAAGAAACCCTGAGATCTGCCTCTCCTGTGTCTGCCAGCTAACTTAGGCTCAGTCACTGAAAGAGCCTCTGGAAGTACTTGAGTTACATGAGGTAGGTTCTCAGTAAGTCACCAGGTAGGAGTGAGTGGTGTTCACCAGGATGACACAGGTTCAAACTCGATGCCAGTGCTGGCAGAGGCCACTCAGCAAATGTTCCAGGGTATACCAAGTCTAGCTGCTACCCACTGGGTGCTTGCACACCTTTGTGGAGGGGTAGGGTGTCAGGTAGTGGTCAGGATGAGACCAGCACAGTTCATTAGGCCCTAATAGACCAAGATTTGGCCTTG